TTTACTTATCATTTTTCGTATCTGCGAAAGAGCAAAATTTTTTTTGTTGAAGTCAATGGTGGTACTTAAGAAAAATTCTCTCTTGCCTTGTCTTTATGAATATGAAGTGTGAACATACCTTTACTAACGATAAAAAGATCAGCCCGTTTGCCCGAGCCGTAATTGAGATATTCAATTTTTTCTTTCGGTATCGTTACTTTTGGGACACCCTGTATATATATATATAAGTATGAATATATAGATATACATGCATATATATATATATATATATATGATGTGGGTGTCATTGAAGAAAAGACACACACTGACACCCACACCATCATATATGGTTTCTGATAATTACTATGGATTTCTATTTTTTTCTAAATAAGCATATGTAGGAAGGAGTGATAATGTTGGAAATTTCCTTATATATGAGATTGGTTTTTGATTGTTCCATGGCATTTATTCTGCAGCCCTTCTATTTATATGAATTCGAAACGTGAAAGTCGAAGCCCTGTTGTGGTAATTCGAACTCTTATAATTTTATTCTTGTGTGACGTTATGAAGAGAAGTACTTTTGGCTTGAACTTCAAAACTGCGTATAAAATTAGCATTTTTTGACACGAATCGATCCATTAGCCAATCCGCATTATGTAGTGTCTCACAACTTGTTTTTTTCACACCTAGGGTTTCCTTCAAGTTTTGAGAAAATGAATTATCTGTGGTTGTACTAAAACATTTTATATTTCGATAGCACCAAGTGTGTGTATTACAAACATTAGATTCTTCTTCCCAAGTACTTGGATAATAAGAAATATCTGAAACATTCTGAAAACCAAAAGAACAAGCTTCTTATCTAGAAGCTGATTAAAACTCGAATTAAATTCGCCAAAAACGAGTTTATCTGATGCATAAGCGCTTTCTTTGGAAGAACCCGTGGAAATGTTTTAGTCATTTAAGTCGTTTTCTGTCGTACCATAGAAAAAATCGACTCAAGCGAATGGCATTGTTTTGAAGGACAAGTTCTGAAGTTATATGAAATTTTATTTTCTTTGACTGCGACAGCAAAATAATTTTAATCAATTGTAGAATCGATTCCGATTTTGTCATGAGATCATTTTCAGCTAAAAAGGTCATGTTTATTAAAATACTTTTTCCTCTAATTACTTTCTTTGATGGTGAAGTCAAGTCTTTTTTGTATATTCAAAATCATTAAGGAAAATTAAGTTAATTTATGCATGTTTTAAAATGTTTCAGGAAGCAGTTTTAATTGAGATTTTTACTTATCATTTTTCTCGAGACAGAGCAAACAAAGATAAGAACCCGGGACGCGTAGGTTTGAAATTGTAATATGCCTTTTTGAGATATAATCAAAGGCATCTAGATATCTGAAGAGTTATTTCTGTGAAACACATTTTGCTTTATATCTCTAATGGAAATGAAAGTTTGAATACGATCAAAAAAAGAAAATTCATTGATGCGATATTAGCTATGAATAACTTAGGTTAGTTTTCCTTGATGATTTCGAATATAATGTTTGTCTCAAATCCAAAGAGATCTATTGTACTCGAAAAGAATCGAATAATAGTAGAAAAAGACGTGAACTGACTATCGAGAAAAATGTTTAGAGGAAAAGTGTGTTACTAGGCATCGAGTATCAAGCTGGAAGTGATTTCATGATAAAGTGCACATGGAATCAAATACTTGATAAAACAAACTCCATGGTGTATTTGAGGTAACTACAGGTTAATAAAAATGGGGAAAATTATTCTGTGCAACAATATGTGTGAATTGAGGCGATATTTGGCATGTATTGATACATAATCTGTTGCATCTCTAAAACATTCGTATAGTTCTGACAGAGGAAAGAGTTCTGCACCAGATTGGCCTGTTTTCGTCGAATTCAATTCGAATTTTCATGGGCATTCAAGGAAACAATTGTTTTCAAAGGCTTCCAAGGAGTACTTCAGATGTTTCCTATCATCTGAACTAGCGAGATCCCATGCATACTGCACGGCTGCTTTTCCTCTAAAGTTTCTCATCTATACTTTTGCCTCGATTTAGTAATAGACAATCAGACATGTTGCTTTATATATGTGGATAGATCTTATAGCTTAGTAGAGTTATCTCCTCGTAGTCTTATACTCTTGTAGTGTTACCTGTTTGTAGGCTTATTCTCCTATACCTCAATCCCCTATATCCCGGTAACCTTATACTCTTGTAGTTGCAGTCCTTCATACCATTATTCTCTTGCACTCTTATCCATGATACTTCTGTGGCCTTATCCCCTTATACCTTCATAACCTTATCTCCTTATCCGATATATCCTTATCCTCTTATACTTTTATAGCCTTGTACTGTTATCCTCTATACTCTTATGTTCTTATACGCTTGTAGTCCTATCTTTTACCCCAAATATTCTTATTTCTCTATACCCTTATCCCTTGAAAGTTTCTATCACTTACACCCTATGTGTTTATCCCTATTCTATTACCCTCTATATCCTTATAACCTTATTTTCATATTTCCTTTTATCTTTGTAGCCTTATTCCCTATAATCTTATCTCCCTATACCCTTATAGTCTTATTTCCTTATAGTTCCTTTCCTTTGTTTCCTATATCCTTGTACTTTTATAGCCCTGTCCTTTTATCGTCTATCTCCTTACAGTCTTATCTCCTTATTGCCTTACTCATCATTATTTACCCTCTTACTGCCTTCCAGTCTTGAGGGTCTATGGACACCCCACATAATAGCTCATGCGGCTTTATGGGTACCTCCGTAGGATAGCGCATGAGCACCTATGGAGTCCTCCATAGGATAACCCATGACGACCAATAGGTGCCTTCATATAATAGCTCATGAGAACTTATGAGAATTTCCATAGAATAGCCCATCAGAAACTATGGGTACCGCCATAGGATAGCGCATGAGGAACCATGAGTACCTCCATACGGTGGCCTATGAGGACCTGTGAGGTTCTCCATAGGATAGCTCTTGAGGACCTATAGGTCCCATGCAGTAGGCCTTGGTGCCTTCCATTATAGCTTTATGTGACCTTTAACCTTTGTCCCGGTGTAGAGAAACACACACGCACTGAACATTATATATGTAGATACTTTGGAATAAAAATGGGATACTTGTTATCAGTACATTGAATGCTATCGAACGATAAACGATCCCAGTACAATGAGAATTAAACAGTTTTGTCAAAACCTAATGAGAAGCTTAGATATGGCAAAACATGAGTCATGATAAAGTGCAAAATCAAATAGAGCTAAATAGTTAAAATTCAATTCATTTAGTATTGAGAGGATACAATCTGTATCCCACTAGAACGATTTTATTTGCTCATTTCTCTTCCAAGAAAGATCTCTTGAAAATCTGTGCAATGCATATTCGAAAAACTATAGAAAAAACACTCAGCAATCCCATCGATGGGTTGCTCTTCTACGAATAATTAGCCCTCAACGTATTTAGGAATCAGTGATTGGATAAAATGTACACTGTTCAATGTATTTACTGGTCCAAGCGTTTAATCCCGCATGTCTCGACCAGAAAGATGCCTAAGGTGGTTGCAAAATAGCGGCGAAAGTTCTATGCCTTACATATATGAACACGAACTCAAGTTACTCTCATTATTCCTCGCCTCTTCTCTATGACCCCTCTCCCTCTCTCGGAAAAGGAAGGAACACTTAGCTGATTACTTTTGACTCTCCGTATTTCATATCTTACAGTAACTATAGTTTCTCCATCGCTGTTTCTTCTATTTTTCCGTGTCTCATGTTTGCTTCTCTGTTTCATTTTCTTTGTCTTTTGTTCGGGTGTCTTCTTCTTTCCCTGACGATGTTGTAATCCGGTTACTCGTGTTATTAATGATGTCTTAATAGATCCACGGACATTTTTTCCCTATCCAACATGATGAAAAAAATTCATTTAGTCTTAGATGGATGTTGTTGTGATTGTGAGAATGGATGTGAAGGTAGGTGTGACTGAAGAGAGGACCGACATCAACAGGTAGATACATACACTTCCACCTGAATCTACAGTCACACACTCACACTCAAACATGGATATGAAATGATCGGTAAAACGTGAATGTGTAAATAACCTAGAAATTTCGAGTTTACGCATCGAGTTTACTTTATCGATCCAACAACAGTTAGACTGCAGACGAAAAATAATGGAAAGATTTGTTCGAAATATAATAACAGATAAGATAAAGCATTTTATCGCTCTTTTATATCTAAATACATTTTAAAGAATTCTCATACTTAGGTCAACAGTTTTTGAACCAACTGTACATGATAAGAATTTTAGGTTAATAGACGTTTTTGAAAGATTTATTATTCTACATTAATCCTTTCTTATTACAAAAGAATTTATACTTTCTTGTAGATGACAAGCATTTCTAAAAATAAAGATGCAACTAAGTTCACTCGTTTATTTAACAAACAATATATCGCCGTGACTACTAATATGGAAGAATCAGTAATGACTCCTAGCAGATTGTATGTCGAAATCTTTTCCCATTCTTCTGAGTTATAGACTGTTTTCCTATTAGGCAATACTCATGGTGGTCAACACATCCACGTGCAACGGGCGTCGGTTGTTTCAGTATCTTCACAATTTTATCAATGGTCTTCTGTATACCGATTGTTTGTCTCACTCAACCAAAAGTAACTGGTACGTCTCGTCGTTTGATATTTTCAAGTATCATTTCTTAAATGAATTAACAACAGATCACCAGCATCTGATCGTTACTTGGAGAATGAATGAGACCTTTCTGCTATTTAATCAGTTTCATTTTCTGACAGCATGAAATCCATCAGTCAGATCTGAGATATCTTCAAACTCACTAAATTTCCTTCTTATTTATAAAACACTAAAAATCTTCACGCGACTATCGATCTCATCCACCAAATGTATTTCTCACTATTTTCAGTTTCTTATTTAGTTAAAAAATGCGAGCTCAATTTCAAAGCAACACTCAAAAGGCCACTGGAGTATAATAGAGGGATAAAATCTGTTTCAGTTGGTCAACTCAATAATGACACATGGAGTGACATAGTGATTGCGAATCATATTGCAAGTAATATCGTTGTATACATCGGATGCAACAATGGTGCTTTCACGAAGCTGGCTGAATATTCGACGGGTAAAGACTCGTCTCCCTACGGTGTTGCTGTTGGTGATCTTAATAATGATCAACATCAAGATATAGCAGTGGCGAACTTTGGTACTCACAGCATCAGTATTTTTCTCGGCTATGGTAACGGATCATTTAAGACTCAACATGAAATTTCAACCGATGCATCTAGGCCTACTACGATTACTTTAGCAGATATAAACAATGACAGATTACATGATATGATCACAATCGACTATGGTACTCATGATATATCTGTCTTCTACAGTCAAGGGGGTGGACAGATTTACGATTCCAACAGTTATCCAACAGGATATGATTCATTTCCTTCATCCTTAGCAACTGCAGACTTCGATCTCGATGGTCATTTGGACATTGCAGTCACCAACTTTGGTACGAATAACATTATTATATTTTATGGTACTCGAGATGGTAATTTCACAAAAAATGTTATCTTCTCCATTAGCTCAGGTTGGAACCCGATTTCGATTGTAGCTGAAGATCTGAACTACGATCATTTTCCAGATATAGTGCTCGCTGGGTACGGAGGGAAAGCCATAAAGATATTCTTGAACTATGGCCATGGATTATTTACAAGACATCGTACTTACACCACAAATCTATCTTCGCCATATTTCATTGGGATCGCTGACATGAATCAAGATAATCGACTTGATATAGTAGTCACAAATCAAGGATCCGAGAATCTAATGATTTTTCTCGGTACGGGAGACGGAACTTTTGAAAAGTCTACAATATATGAAACAGGTGCCACTTCCTCCATCGCATTCACAATTACAGATGTAAATCAAGACAAGCGTCCTGATATCATCATACTCAATAACGACACTGATGCGATCAACATCTACTTTGGCTCATTCGAAGGATTCAGCGCCGCTTCAAATTATAGGGTTGGTTCTCAACCATACTCTGTAGCTGTGGGTGACTTTAACAACAACACTCATCTCGATCTTGTCGTTGTTAATATAGGCAGCAATGATGTGAGTATCCTTCTTGGATGTGGAAATGGATCCTTTGCAACCCAAACCACGTATTCAGTTGGCTTAGCATCATTCTCGGTAGCTGTGGATGAGTTTAACAACGACATTCATCTCGATATTGTCGTCGCTAATTATGAAAGCAATGATGTGAGCATCCTCCTGGGACATGGAAATGGATCTTTTGCTCATCAAACAACATATTCAGCTGGCTCCAACCCAGCATCTGTAGCTGTAGGTTATTTCAACAATGACACTTATCTTGATATCGTTGTTGCTAATTGGAACAGCAATGATGTGAGTATCCTTCTTGGATACGGAAATGGATCTTTTACTACTCAAACAACGTATTCAGCTGGTTACAACCCAACATCTGTAGCCGTGGGTGATTTTGACAACAACACCTGTCTCGATATTGTCGTCACCAATTATCATAGTAACGGTGTGAGTGTCCTTCTTGGATATGGAAATGGATCTTTTGTCAGTCAAACTACTTCTTCAGCTAATGCTCACCCAACATTCGTAGCTCTAGGTGATTTCAACAACGACACTCATCTCGACATTGTCGTCGCTAATTATGGAAGCAATGATGTGAGCGTTCTCCTGGGATATGGAAATGCATCATTTGCTCGACAAACAACGTATTCAGCTGGCTCCAAGCCATCATCTGTGGCTATAGGTAACTTGAACAATGACACTCATCTTGGTATCGTTGTTGCTAATTGGAACAGCAATGATGTGAGTGTCCTCCTGGGATATGGAAATGGATCTTTTGCCAGTCAAATCACGTATTCAGCTGGTTACAACCCAACATCTGTAGCTGTGGATGACATTAACAATGACACTCATCTCGATCTTGTCGTGATCAATTACAATAGCAATGATGTGAGTATTCTTCTGGGATATGGAAATGGATCTTTTGCCAGTCAAATCATGTACTCAGTTGGCTTACGTCCATTCTCGGTAGCTGTGGGCCATTTCAACGATGATATGTACCTCGATATCGTTGTTGGTAATTATTATAGTAATGATGTAAGTGTGCTTATGGGATATGGAAATGGATCTTTTGCGAGCAAAACCACATATTCAGCTGGTTCCCAACCATGGTATATAGCTGTGACTGATTTTAACAACGACACTCATCTCGATATTGTCGTCGCTAACTCGCGTAACAATGATGTAAGTGTGCTTTTGGGATATGGAAATGGGTCTTTTGCAATTCAAAGCACATATTCAGTTGGTTACCAACCACAATCTGTAGCTGTGGGTGATTTTAACCATGATACTCACCTCGACATTGTCACCGCCAATTATGGTAGCAATGATGTTAGTGTCCTTGTGGGATATGGAAATGGTTCTTTTCCCAGACAAAGAACGTATTTAACTGGCTCAAAGCCATTATCTGCAGCTGTGGGTGATTTTAACAGCGACACTTACCTCGATATTGTCGTCGCCAATTATGATAGCAACGATGTGAGTATTCTTTTGGGTTATGGAAATGGATCCTTTGCAATTCAAGCAACGTCTTCAGTTGGCCTAAAGCCATTCTCGGTAGCTGTGGGTGATTTCAACAACGACACGCACATCGATATCGTTGTTGCTAATTCGGAAAGCAACAATGTAAGTTTTCTGTTGGGAAATGAAAATGGATCTTTTGCAAATCAAATCATGTATTCAGTTGGCTCAAAGCCATTATTCGTAGCTGCCGGTGATTTCAACAATGATACTCACCTTGATACTTTTGTCGCTAACAATGGTAGTAATGATGTGAGTGTATTGTTGCAATATTCAAGAGGATTTTTAAAACATGAAACTACACTTTCTTCTGCACTTGGATCGAAGCTGGGATCTACAATTGTTACAGACGTGAATCATGACCGTCTTGCAGACATTGTCGTACCTAATTATGGCACCAGTGATATATCAGTGCTGGTAGGAGAAGGTAGTGGCAATTTTAGAACTCACATTCTGAAAGCGAATACAAGATATTCTCATCCCTTAAGTATCGCTATAGGACATTTCAACCACGATCGAGAACTGGACATTGCAGCGGTTTATATAAAATCCAAAAACGCTCGTATTTTCCTTGGTAACGATACAGATATTTTTGAATCGCAAGAAAGTGATAGTATTCGATTCGAATTCCCACCATTCGTAATCGCTCATGGTGATTTTAATAATGATGATGTTGATGAAATTATTGTTGCATATGAAGAGCATGACTTTATAGATATTCTCACAACATTTCAAAACTTTTCCGTGGCGATTCAAACCAAGTATTCAGTTGGTATTGGACCAATATTTGTAGCTGTAGGTGACTTTAACAACGACAGCTATCTCGATATTGTGGTCGCTAATTCGCTTAGCAATGATGTAAGCATCCTTCTTGGATATGGAAACGTATTTTTTGCAAATCAAGTCACGTACCTAGTTGGTTCTTATCCAGTATCTGTAGCTTTGGGTGATTTCAACAAAGATGCTCACCTTGATATCGTTGTCACTAGTTATCGGGAAAATAGTGTGAGTATCCTTTTGGGCTATGGAAATGGTTCTTTTCGCAGGCAAAGCAAGTATTCAGTTGGCTCAAGGCCATTATCTGTAAATGTGGGTGATTTCAACAAGGATACTCACCTTGATATCGTTGTCGCTAATTATCTAGAATATAGTGTGAGTATTCTTGTTGGATACGGAAATGGATCTTTTGAAACTCAAGTGAAGTATTCAGTGAACAATCCTCCGTACTCTCTAGCTCTGGGGGATTTCAACAGCGACGCTCACGTCGATTTCGTCATTGCTAATTACAATAGCAATGATGTCAGTTTTCTTTTTAGTTCTATGAATGTAGGTTTCGTACATCGTATGAGAGTTACCAGTGGTAACGAATAGCGACCTCGATCGCTTGCTGCTGCAGATATTAATCATGACTCTCAGTTGGACTTTGTTGTTTTAAATGCAGGCTCGAATAATATTGCAATCTTTTTCGGACTTGGTAACTTTTCTTTCTCTCGCCCAGTTACATACTCGACCTGTTTTGAACCAGCTTCTTTAGCTATAAATGATTTGAATAACGATAGACGACAAGATATTGTTGTCGCTAATTACAAGTCGGGCACTATCAATATTTTTATGGGAAACATTAATGGATCATTCTTAAATCAAACATTACTTCGAACAGGCGATGGTTCCATACTTGTTTCTGTCGCTCTGGTGGATTTTAACAACGATACAATCATTGATATAATAGTCGCTGATCAAAATACAAATAGTGTTGGAATTTTTCTCGGATATGATAGTGGAACATTTTCTACAATGATTTCATTCCTAGTTGGTTACGGTTCTGATCCATTCTCTGTAGGCGTTGGTGATTTTAATAATGACGCGAGAGTTGATTTTGTTGTAGCAAATGGTGGTACTGATAGCTTATCTATTTATTTACAAACTTGTTAACTTATTTTGTGTAGATTGTATTATTTTTCTTCTTCTATTAATTGCAAAAAGTAAACTTCTCATAGAACTTCTTTAAACGTTTTCGGACCACCTCGAATTGTCAGGGCTGTTCTTCGATGGTTCCGAAAGGAACTCATTTTTTTAAAGAGTGGAATTGACAGGATGAAAATATATGTATAGGGTGACGTGAAGATGGTGGGCTGCTACGCAATATCCTCCAAAAAAAACGATTCCTTATTCTAATGAATTGCGATACGTACATGCTGGAACTATTACAAATTAGATCATTATGTAGTTTGTTCATGAGAGTAACAATATACAGTTTGAAAAGAAGTAGAAAAAAAAACAATAAATATCACAAATCAGAGTCGTTTATTATGACTTGTATAATATAAATTGATACCACGCTGTTGTGCATGATATTGTTTTTGTTACTAGAAAATTCAATGATATCTTCATAACTGAGTGTAAAAAATACATTTTTCTTGTTGATTCCATTTGCGGAACGAGAATGATGGCTCGTGTAAAATTTACGCCAAATTTCACAACAGCTTTTAAGAATATCAGAGAGAGCAGACCATGGTGCTTGAATATATTTATTAGGTGAACGAGCTAATTCAGGACACTCTTGTATGTACGAATTCACCCTGAAATATTAATAATCCTGTTATGTCAGTAGAGACATCTCCTGACATAAGAAGGCCCTCTTTATCCCTCTATCATACTCATGAGATGGAACCGACTTGTGGAAGAGAGAGATAGAGAAAGAGGAGGTTGTTCCTTTTGTTTGATGTGAATCAGTTGTTTGTTTTTGTGAAGAAAGAAGGAATAAAGAAACTGGGGGAAAAGGACCTAACAATTTGGTGCACTAGCTGGAGTTGTTTATTATTGATATCATTAGTATATGTTAACACGACAAGGTGCAAGACGACTTATTGAAACTGAATTCCATCGATTAGCCAATATTGATATTAATTTTCCTGATCGTACAACAATATA